TCCTCCTGTTTTCTCCAGTTTGGTTTTTTGATTTGGGTTTTGGTTTTTTTGAGACAGTTTCGCTTTGTCACCCAGGCTGGAGTGCAGTGGCACAATCTCAGTTCACTGCAACCTCTGGGTTCAAGGAATTCTCCTGCCTCAGCCTCCCAAGTAGCTGGGATTATAGGCATGCACCACCACGCCTGGCTAATTTTTTGTGTTTTTAGTAGAGATGGGGTTTTACCATGTTGTCCAGGCTGGTCTCGAACTCCTGAGCTCAGGTGATCCTCCTGCCTCGGCCTCCCAAAGTGCTGGATTACAGGTGTGAGCCACTACACTGGCTTTTCTGTTTTTTTATTTTTTATTTATTTATTTTTATGGTGGTAAGACACTAAAATGTACGATCCTAACCATTTTTTAAGTGTACAGTTTGTGGTATTAAATATGTTCATAATGCTGTGCAGCCATCCCTGCCATCCAGCAGGGAGGTCAACACTTGCTTGGGGGTTCTTCAGGGGAAGGGAGGAAGACCAACATTTATTAAGCACCTACTGCATGCCACACACTGTACCTGGTGCTCTTAATAAAGTCTCTCGCTTTGTTTTCACAGTTACCCAGTGAGGGAAGTATTAATCTCTTTTTACAGATTAAGAAACTGAGGCTCAGAGAGATGGATTAATCTAACCTAGTGAGCACAGGCACCGAGTGCTGGCATCAGGATTCGAACTCGGGATGCCTGGCTGTGTGCTTCCCTGCGCTGTTGTAGCCACACTGTATTACAGATAGCAGGAGGGAGAGCAGGCCACAAGCTGGCCCTTCTTAGTGACCTCAGGCTAAGGAAGCCATGCTTGGTCTGTTTCCAGTCACCTTGCACCCCTACCCAGCCCCACACAACAACCTAGCAAAGTTTCTTTGCAAACATGTGAACGTGACTGAATTAAAGAGAAAGAGAACTTGTCCTCCCCGGAGTCAAGGTGCTGGGATGCGGGTATGCCCAGGAGTTCAAGTTAGAAATCTGGGGACACGGTGCATGGGGACAGCTGGGATTTCCAGCCCTGCGCCCCTTTTTCTGTCCCCCACTCTGGGTTCTTGTCTTCACAGAGGCTTTGAGTAACTGTTCAGAGGGCCTGCTGGGATCTGAGCTAGCCCCACCGGACCCCTGCTACACATGCCAGTGCCAGGTGAGCCCTCCTGCCTTGGGGACTCACAGAGCCCCTCTTCTTCCTTCTCTGTGGGCTGTGGCTGCCCCTCCTCTCCTGCAGCAGCTCCGGGGCTCTCCACTCACCCTGACATTTGCCCACTTGTCCTGACTGTCACATCATGACTACGCCTTACTCCTCCACCAGCTCCCTGAGATCCACCATTCTCTACCTCTTGTGTTCACATGGGTAGGACCTGACATGGCTCTGCATCCACCAAACCTGTCCTGAGCTCAGCTGTCCCCTCTCAGAGCGCCACACTCCCCCTGGGAGCTGCTGCCCCGTGTGCCAGGGTAAGTGCCCAGCCCGGGCCTCCACCCTCAGAGAGGAGCCCAGGGGGAAGACAGGAAGGGGAGACATTCATGGGCCAAGTGGGCAGTCCAGGGTTTGTACTCGGTTTTCAGAAAAGAATACAGGGTTCATTCTTTTCTAGAAATGGAGGGGGGCTGTTCTTGAGGTGGGGAAGAGACCCATGAGGCAGGGGGAAGCTGGGATGAAGCCTAGATTCTCAAGGTCTGGCCTGATGCCTCTCAGGGGGCTTGGGATCTCCAGGCCCATGAAGAGGGCATTGCACTACTGAGTGGGCAGCCGGCCCAGAGTGGGGTTCCAGCCTCTGGCCCTTTGGGCTCCTAGGACCCTAGAGACATCCCCAGCACTGATGCGAGGCCTGATGTCTAATGGGCCCTGTGGATATTGGTTGAAGAAATCAACACCATCAGGGTGGTAGGGAAATTGAGTGGGTGCTTTCCTGCCATGAAATGCGGGGTAAGCTCCGAGGAGGGAGGATACAACTGGAGGGACAGTGCCTGCCCATCCCATGTCTTCCTCCTCAGAATGTGTGGTGGAGGCCGAGGGCCGGAGAGTGGCAGATGGAGAGAGCTGGAGGGACCCCAGCAATGCGTGCATCACCTGCACCTGTCGTGTGAGCTGGGGTGGGTCTGGGAGGGTAGAGGATCTCACAGATGGATAAAGGGAGGAGTGTCCAACACTCCACCAGCAAATACGGGGTCTTTAAGGGGCAAGAGCATCCCTGCACCAGGGCACGGAGCCGAAGGTTGGATTTCATTCTCCACTTGAACTGTGAAGAGTGTATTGTGGGAGGGGCAGGCAGAAGTCCATGCCCAGATGCCCCCAGAAGCATGAGGCCAGGGACTCCGGCCCTGCAGAAAACCCCAGAACAATGATGTCTGTCCTCAGCGGGGCCATGTGGAGTGCCACCTCGAGGAGTGCCAGGCCCTCTCCTGCCCCCATGGCTGGGCAAAGGTGCCCCAGGCTGACAGCTGCTGTGAGCGATGCCAAGGTGTGCAGCCAGGATGATGGGGGAGGGGGTAAGTCAGACCTTCTGGGCATGTGGGAGGGGCAGCTGACCTCCCAGCTCCTATCCCTTCAGCTCCCACCCAGTCCTGCGTGCACCAGGGCCGTGAGGTGGCCTCTGGAGAGCGCTGGACTGTGGACGCCTGCACCAGCTGCTCCTGCATGGCGGGCACCGTGCGTTGCCAGAGCCGGCGCTGCTCACCACTCTCGTGTGGCCCCGTGAGTACCGCAATCTAAGGCGGTGGGGAGGGTCAGGGTGGGGGCACATGGTACCACCATCCTGGTGTGATCAGGCATCCGAGAGGGAGGCTGGGCTCCTGCAGCCAGCTGGGAGCTGGGGACAGTGCTGTTCCCAGTGCGACCACAAAGTGGTGCCCTGACCTTGCTCACAGGGAGCCCGGGCGCTGGAGTCCTGGAGATCCCTGGAGACTCCTGGGAGATGCTTGGTTTTCCGGGAGGGTCTGCGAGAGGCATGGCCGGGAGGGCGGTGTGTCTGACAGTGTCTGGGGCTGAATGCAGGACAAGGCCCCTGCCCTGAGTCCTGGCAGCTGCTGCCCCCGCTGCCTGCCCCGGCCAGCTTCCTGCATGGCCTTCGGAGACCCCCATTACCGCACCTTCGACGGTCGCCTGCTGCACTTCCAGGGCAGTTGCAGCTATGTGCTGGCCAAGGACTGCCACAGCGGGGACTTCAGGTGTGCATCCCCCGTCTCTCTTCTCCCCAACCCCTACACCCAGCCCTGCTGACCATTGGCACCTGGGACTTTCCCGCCCACAGTGTGCACGTGACCAATGATGACCGGGGCCGGAGCGGCGTGGCCTGGACCCAGGAGGTGGCGGTGCTGCTGGGAGACGTGGCCGTGCGGCTGCTGCAGGGCGGAGCAGTCACTGTGAGCAAAGCCGATGAGCAGAGGAAGGTGGATCCCATGCTGTCCACCCATGTGCCTCGACATCGCCCCTCCTCCCACCTCCTTTATCCTCCAGGTGGATGGGCACCCAGTGGCCTTGCCCTTCCTGCAGGAGCCGCTGCTGTATGTGGAGCTGCGAGGACACACTGTGATCCTGCATACCCAGCCCGGGCTCCAGGTGCGGCTCCAGGGCGAGTCTGGGTGGGCTGCCTGCTGGGAGCTTCAGTCCTGTTTAGGCCTCTGTATCTATAGGGGGGTGGGGATGCCAGCTACCTCCTGGCCAAAAGAGGCCAGGAGTGGGGTGCAGGGCTGTGAGGGGAGGTGGATCAGGGTCAGAGATCTCCCCGGGCAGTCAGAGGAGTTCTGAGTTCTGAGACTGATTTCTAATCTTGACTCAGCCTCTTAAGTCACCAACAGCCTCCCCTGGGCCTCAGATTTCTCATCTGTAAAGTGGGGAATGGGAAGGGTCAGTGGCAGTGGGGAGGATGTCAGCTAAAGTCTCCTGGCGGGTGTCTCAGGTTCCTTCCAACCCTCATGTGGAAGGAGTAATTTGCCCCCTGCGCCCAGCAAGAAACACAACTTGTAAATTCATAGAATAAGGGTATACACTTCTAATCTGAACCCTAATTGTGCTTTGTCCTCTGCAAGGCCGGAATGCCCATGAGAAAGTGAATCCCTGGAAGGGGGTTGCATTTCACGTGGGGCCCAGTTGAGGGATGGCGGCAGGAGA